AAAGTAAATCGCTGTGGCATAGAGTTAATTACATTACATTAAATTAAAGTAATTAAAGAGAATTAAAATCAAAGCTTAAAATGATAAGTGTTGGGAGCTGGAGAAGTTCCACTTTTCTCCAGCAGAGTCCGCCGTGGATCCTTCTGAGTGAGCCTCCTGCACAGCTGCAGCCCATCAGATCATCAGAGGATCCACCATATAAGCTGTCTTCAGACCTTGCCTCAACGCCGCAGTGTTGATCCAGTTGGTCAGCGCCTAAGCCTAGACTCTCAGTGAATCTTTGTGACTTTGAATCCAGCCTGGATTCTAACCGTTGTCTCTATCTTCCAGGAAACCAGTGTCTCCTCTGTGAAGCTCTGGAAGAGCTAACCTGCCGAGCCGACCCTCAGAGCCTAACCCGAAGAACCACAGTGAACTTCCATGCAGCTCAGGACTAAGAGCTGGAAAACCCAAAGCCAAGGTCTGCTCAGTACTAGACGTAAGACGCTGAAGCAGCAAGCGGACTCTGCTGATCAACTCCTCTTCAGATCCAACAGTGACCCTCCCAAAGCTAACCTCAAGAACCCTCAAGGTACAATCAGTAATTATCAAGAAAGCAAGCTCCAACGTGCAACGCTAACTGAACTGTCTCTCACGCAGACTCCGGTGAACCAGTATCCAGGCCCGAACCAGAACCAGTATTATCAGTGTGCTTGTGTTCAAATAAACTTGTTGAACTTTTATTCCTGTGTCCGTCAGTGGTGTTCTGCATAATTGGGTCAATCTCAGAGTACCCATCATGACAATAAGTATAAAAGATAAATTATATTATTGAAAGCAAAACGAAAATAGGTTTGCCTACTAACTGATATTTATCACATTTCTATAATAAAGTCAAAGGGCACTCTCAACAAATATGTTTTAGCCTTTCTTTTTTTCTTTTTTTTCTCAGTGTCCTGTCTGGCAATGTGGCAATAAGAATAATTGAGAGAGCAGTACAGCTATCGCCATAGTATTCCGCTTGATTTATGCATATAAATAGCTTTATCATAATTATGCAGGGAGTTTTACAGATTATATGGACACTGCAATGTAAGTAGAACAGGAAAGGAAAAACAGGGGGGAAAAAAGGAGAAAAGATGAAAGAAAGAGAAGATAAAAGGGAGATAATGATAAAACATCTTCAGTCTGCTTCACCACCTGCAAAGAGATGTGAAAAGAACAGCACAACCAACAGATATAGTATAAGAGATACAATAAAGTAACACCTTTATACTATCGCTGAAGTATAAGTAGTTGTATTTAATCTGGCATGTATACTGTGGTAGCTGAAGATAAGAATATGGGCTTTCTGTATGGAAGTGAATCTCTGAGTACCTGGAACCACTTGTATGTTTTAACCTTCATTTAGGTGATGAAGTCTTTATGTACCCCTGAAATTCCACCTCTCTACACATTATGAGCCTTTAAATTTCCAAAAGTGGCAATCAACTTAAAAATTGGGTTATTTTTTCCTACTTACTTGGACGCCTGAACGAGACAGAAATGTCAAGTGGCCTTCAGCAGAGCCACCACCACCACATGTCCCTGAAGTTCCTTCAGCGGCGAGCGGCCATTTATGGCCCAGTCTGGAGCAGGTTGGCAGATCCTGGAGGAATTCTTATCAGCTCCAACCAAAGGAGTGGTTTGGGAAACCCACAGCAGAGCTGGCACGGCTGCGCTCAGCCACAGCACCAGCAGAGAGCGCATTGTGTCCCCCTGCCAACCGCAATCTACATGAGAAGGCAGATATGGTCAGTTCACACTTGAACACTGTCACCCCCCACTTCAGCTATAAAGAAGTAAATGCACATTTTATCAGCAAAGATTTAACAGCTAGGACAAATTTAACATGATTAGTGATACTAGAATTATAAAGGTGTTGTGATTTATGCGTTATTTGGTAATTAAACAGACAAAGGGTGCAGTGTGGAGAATCATGGCCCCTTTTATACCCCTGGAAAAAACATTCAGTCTGGTCCAAAAATAATTAATGAATAACTTGTTGTTGTTTCTGCCCGCTTGAGTGAGATAATTACAAAAAAGCAGAGAGTTTTTTTTAATCCACAGATAAAAGAAAGAGGAATTTCAGATCAACATGCTATTGATCACGGCCTGTACAGTCACCTCTTCACAAACGATAAGCATTTACTTCATTATCAGCAAATATTTTACTGGATATAAAGTTTTATAAGCAACTTTTACTTAGATTTACTCACATATTTACGTTTTTATAATCATGAAGCTGTTCACCTTAAAGGCTCTGTGTTTAAAAAATAATTATGCCAGTACAGCTAGTGTGAAAGTTTGTCCAAAAAAAAAAAAAAAATAACTTCTTGCTTTTTCTTTCTTTAGCTTGAAATAATGTAAGCAAATGAAAAACTAAAGTTTAAAGTAAGATTTGAAACCAGAAGATGGATATTTATACGAGCAGTGCAAAGAACAGCAATTAAATGGTTTTAGGAGGAAGGGGAAGGCTTACCGCTGCCCAGTGTGTCCTGTGACTCAGACTGGCACACAGTGAACCCCTGAGGTTTTTAAGGGCTCTGCTGTTTACTGAGCACTTCCCCCAATTTAAACAGTGACCGACTTCTGGTGCCAAAGAATTTCAGATACAAAGCATGCACTGATGATGTTGCATTGTATAAAAAGGCTCAGGTTTCGTTGGGTCTGGTTTGAATAAATAATGTTTTTCCAATATTATATTTAAACAGTATTGTTCTTAGTGTTTTTTTTTTTTTAGAGAATAATGAACTAAAGTTGTATTGATGGCAGATAGTTAGATGTTAAATGGTAAACAACGGTAGAATAATTTTTCTGCTAAACTTTGTGGAACGTTTTTCGAGGGAGATAACTGAAATAGGATGATTTTACTTTTGGGTGACAGAAGAGATGCACCACTGGTTCTTAGCAGCCATGCATGCTCACACTGCTGTATTTACAATGATGAAAAATTAAGTTGTAACATTTCTGAAAATCCTTAGTTATCTTTCTCTTTGAAACCACTGTTTCTAAGATCCATTATATCTTTACTACTAAAACCTAAATAAGTTATCTGCAAAATTAATCTTTTATGTTAATTCCCTTAGATTAGTTCTGGATACTTAAGCTGATTTAGAACATATGTGTTGTTTTTCACCCAATTAAAGGTTGAGATATCTTAGAAAACAATGTCTTAATTTTGAATCAGACTCTCACTGCCGCCCTGAGGTATTAGTTTGTAAAACGATCGGTTCTAGTTTCTCTAGAACTACATTTCTAGTTTGCTAACAATGTTAGTTCTGGTATACTCTCTTTCCAGGTGATCACAAAAGCATCTCTAAAAGCAGATGTTTAAACTTTTGTTACTGAGCAGTACAACTAACAACTACTTATAACTCTTGTCAAACTTTATGGTAAAATGAAATTATTGTGTCATCCCCCTACCTGCAGGGTAAGTATATAATCTGTCACAATAATAGCTCAAAGTCCATGTTGGGTAAAAACAAGTGCTTCATCCAAAAGATGGTACAACAGTGTGTCAAAGTTTAGGTCCGTTCATAGAAGAAGAATGCTGGCAATGCAAACATGACCAGGGCTAAGCTAGATGAACGTCTGCATTTCTGCTGGAGCTTTACCTGTCAGGCCACTAAATATTAAAAATTATAGACTAAGTCTTATTTCATGCAAACTATTCTCCTCAGCTTTGATGCAAACAATCTTTTACTTTGTACACACTATGTAATTTTCTATGTAGGGCTACAACTAAAGATTATTTAGCAAATCAATTAATCTGTTGATTTTTTTGATTAATCAATTAATAATCGGACAGCAAAAGGTTCCTTAGAGATGATTTTTTTTTTACAAATTTAAACCAGGGGAAATAAAAACTTTTCTACTCGAGGAGTTCAGGATAGAGCATATTTATAGAAGAAAAAATTTGTTTTTTTTATTTTTATCTTAAATGGAAAATGTTTATATAGTTAATGCTCTAAGTGGGTTCCTCTGTCAGTTAAACATATGTTTAAAGGTCTCTATACTCCATTTAATGATTAAGCGATTACTAACTTAGTTGTTCATTATTTAAATAATCGATTAATCACGATTAATCAGAATAATTGTTTCAGCCCTAGTTCTATGCATTGTTTGATTTAATAAAACATTATTACTAATGCAACAGAAAACAGTTATGGTATAAAATTATTAGCTTCATACATAAAATAAGTAAGATTATAAACCTGTTCAATGTATTACTATGGTAATACAATATCGTAATACATATATATCTAGTAGTTTTCTAAATGAATAATTTTATTCATTCATTTAAAAATGTATTTGAAAGCACAAAAATTAACTCTCAGCAGGGCTGGGCAACATGGCTTGAAAATCTAATCTCTGATTTTTTCCTGCAAAAATTATGATTTTTTTTCCCCAAATTAACTTCCGAAATAAGAATGCCATATATTATTGTCAAAAAAAGGTTTTGATTTCATCCTCTCTGGGAGGCGACCTTAATTTAAAGGACAACAAAATTCAAGCTGTGAAACATGCTTTAAAAAAGAATCATGTTTCACAAAAATACAAAAGACTAAATGTCTGCAGCAAGTTGTATCACACAGCTATTCACACACATCTAATAACAAAAAATGATACTGAGGTCATTTATGGAAGCTAAAGGGGTGTATTAGTTTGCAAAAACCCCAATTTTCCAAATTGGGATTCTAAATTCAACTGATTTTATTGATGAATAACCCATCTTTAACTCTTAGATGATTAGACTTTTTCAGCAACAGAAATGGGACTTTAGATCTAATGGTTAAATGCCAGTTTAAGCAATTTAATGTCCTTTTAAAGATCTAAACATAGGAAAATTAGTTGAAGACAGACAAAATGAAAGAAAAATCAAAAACAAGTCAGGAGGCATTTTAGCTCAAACTTTTGATTTAGTTCAAGCATTTTACAAAAGATTAGATGCTTAAATCAAATTTAGTCTGACACATATATTCCTGTAAACTAAAGGACATTTTATTTTGTTATGGATTAGAATGTTTTAAACTGGGTTAAATTTACTTTATTTGTTGTTTTTAATAGTTTAACATTTACACAAATCCTTGCACAGAACTATATGAAACCAAAATCGACAAAATGTGCAGAAATGTCAGATCAATTAAATGATTTCAATGTTTTTAGTATGCTGCCAGGAAACAGTCATTAGAACTTATGTTACCCGGGATCTGCAGCATGTTTATCTACTTACATTATATCCAGTCAGGCTAAATGTAATGTTTTATTCCTTATATAAAACAGAGCCAATGAAAAACTCGGAAGTGTGACAATTGACCTTCAAAACAAGCAGCGATTTATCCAGGCGAGGTGCAAATGTTCTTTTACAAATCACTCAAATCTACATAGTGCATTTAACAAGCTACATAGTGCTCCTCACTCGTTCAGGCTACCTCAACATGCCAGCATAACAGCAAGAATGACCAGAGTATCAATCTTGGCTGATCAAACATCATGTGCGCTGGGCAATGTTTAAAACCAGTGTCTTGACATTTTTATGCTTCAGGTACAGTTTAAACTCAGAATCAGGAAATATCCATTCGAAATAAAAGCTGATGACTAGGATCAAGACAAAACTCCCATCAGTTCTTCTTCATCATTATCCCCAACTCCTTCTGTAGGGCTGTTACATGTGGCCATGAGCCCCAGGCTCAGCTCCGCCAGCTCCTCGCAGCTCATGTCAGTTGTGACCATGATCTTAGTCTCCAAGCGGTTGCACAAAGTCCTATATGAGGGTAGAGGGTAGCCGATCTCTCTAAGGTACTCGTAGCCTTTGGTTCCAACAGCGCAGCGAATCTTTCGGGCTTTCATGATCGTCTCTGGTGACCAGACAGCTCGACGGGAGCGCTTTGTGAGGGACAGGGCTCGGACCTGATCTTCGTACAGAAAGTTCTGCAGACCCTTCTCTATCCGATCCAGCCGATACAGACGCTTCTTCATTTCTTCTGCCTGTGAAAGATAGCAGAAAGTTACGTTATTTATCAATCATTAATATAAATCAACAAAAAGACAGCATTAAAAAACAGCCATATTACCTCCCTTTGTAGTCTTGCAGTGTGTTGCATCTCCTGCTCCAGCTTTTTCTTAAGAAGCTGACACTGCATGCAGGGGTGATGGTCTTCAGATGCTCGTTCTCCATCCTCCTCTTCAAGTCCAGACAGGGGGTTGCGTCTGGCATAGCCATGATCCCCAAAGTTTAGATCCTTTTCCACTACAAGACAAGAAAACCTTCCAGTAAATCAGAAGTTCTGTAATCCAGCATATTTCATATAGTTCAGAAATGTTTCATCTTAAACACAGTTCAGTGAGAGAAATACCTGGCTCAGGTTTCAGGGGTAGCAAGATATATGGGGAGGTGATAGCAGGGAAAGGAGGGTCCCCCACATTGAACAGAGTGGGAATGGCATTGGGCTTCAGTTTTTTACCACCAGCTGGAGATCTGGCAATTTCTTCAAACTGGCTTTCCTCAAAGTGGTCCTTATAGAAAAACAATAAAAAAAAACAAAAAAAAAACATAAAAATGAATATCAAAAGCTATTTTAGAAGCATTTATTTTGTTATTTTAGAGCTTTATGAATAATTGAATTCCAGGAACTTTAGAAGCTGTAAAACTGGATATTACCTGGCAGAGTCTAGAATGGGGAGTGGGCTCGAAGTCACGTCGGCAGTTCACCACCCATTTCTTTTTCCGCACTGGGTCTTTAGGGAACCTGAACAGCTGTTTGCCTATGCTGGTAGAATTGGAACAGTTTGGAGCCGAGCAGCCTCCCATTACATACAGTGGAAAAACCCAAACAAAACAAACCAAACGTTGTAAGCGGTGACTTGGCTCAGCTTGGGTTTCTTTAAACCATGATTTCTGGTCCGCTGCTTTTAGGAGGTTAAAACAACACAAAGATACTTTTAGAGTAAATTATGACTTGTAAAAATGATTAAACCCGACGAACCGTTAGCACAAATGTCTCGTAAGACATTTTTAAAACACTTTATTTTGGGTGAAATCTTGAGGAGTTTGTTTGAGCCAAAATGGCGACCGGTCCCTCGACATATAACTCCCGTGACGTTGTTTTAGCGCGGGCCATAGAAAATGCCGTACTAATTTTTTTTTATTAAAAATAAAAATATATACAGAATTAATATGGAATGCAAATCTGATACAATATATTTTGAAGCGAGCTTTTTTTTTACTAAATTCCCGGATGTTTTCTTTTAGAATTGTGCATTTATATTGACATTTGCAGTCAGGCGCTTTATTTCAACCACTAAGACTTTTTTTCTATCAAAAGCCAGGGAAACATGCTGATATGTTTACGGCTGAGATGATGCTAGCTCAGGACTCCTGAACAGAACCCCGGCGAAAACGTGTATGACAGAAGTTATTTAACTACAGATCACATAGGATTGATCATTTAAAACTAAACAATTTGTGAATTAGCTTCTTGTATCAACAGAACCTCCATGTTACTTTGCGGAGGACGTGCCATCTACATAATTTAGTGCAAGCATGTCATCTTCGATCACAGTTCCTGTAATTGATGTCCAAAATAATAATTTTAAGGAGCTCTGGCCAGCGTTGGTAGTCGCCATCCAATCTTCATCTTTCATTGCGCTTGACACGGTAGGGGATGTTCTGATCTCTGGTTTGTGTTTGCTTGCTCCTCATTTGTGTCTCAATGTGGGAAATAACTTGTGCATCTGCAGGAACTGAGTGGTCTGGGAAACAGAAAGTCTCTGCTGGCTGAGTGAGTATGAATATTATACTCTACACATGACAATCCCAAAATTAAAAGCCATACAGATGTTTCCTTAACAGATTATTTCTCTGATTTCTGACAATTTGTTCTAGATCTATAGAGGATAGATACAAAGCAATATGTCACGCTGCTCGCTCGCGCTCCATCCTGTCCTTGGGAATTGCTTGTTACAAAAAGTTGGACCAAAAGGTACCGCTGAAATATTATGTGATCATGCAGAAGCTTAAACTGTCCACTGGGCTTTACAATAGCAGCATTGAGCCTTGAACCTGTTCCATTTCTATCAGGTTACTACCACAAATCAAAATGACAAATTTATTATTTTAATTTTTTTTTACTAATACAGTCTAACAGGTGTAAAAAAATCTAACAGGTGATTTTTTTCATAAATGATATTTTTATTAGAAAATAAAAAATAAATAAATAAACGTTTTTGTCATTTTTTTCTCCATCTTACACCTAAACTCATTTTATGCTTGTTACCAAAAAAATAAAGATCAAATTAAAGATCAAAGAGATTTATGAGACTCACAAACATAAATCTGTATTAGCATAAGAACCCCAGTAGGACTGTTGCCACCAGTTTGCTCTGTGACTCCATCAGATTTCTGCTACAGATAAAAATTTCCAGCTGTGGGGTTAATTGTTTTTCTCTGCCAGCCTGCAGACTCGTACCTGGTCCAGGTGTACAACCTCACCTTGCTGTGTTCAGAGGAGTACATAATAGAGCCCCAGTCAGTCCAGTTCCTGGTTCAGCACGGATTTGACTTCAACAAGCAATACAGCAATGGAATCCCATACTGCAAGGGCAACAATAAGGTGACGATGCCGGCACGCTGCTGTATCTTTCCTTAACCGAACTGCAGTTTGGCTCTAATCAGCAGCTTCTAGATCGCCACGTCCTATCAGATGTAGATCAATTTCCTGTAAAGCTTCTGTTGTGTCATTTTTTGTCTGTTAGGGCAATGCGGATGACCATGGGGTCCACATCAGAACTTTGTTTACTGAGCTGCTGCGCGCCAGGAAGCCCCTGGTGCTTCACAACGGCCTCATCGACATGGCCTTCCTTTACCAGGTACAAACACTCAGGTGGTGTGTCCAAAAAACCCCAAAGACGTTCAAAGCCAGTAGGAAGGTTTTAACCCCTCATTCACTCTCTGACACGGTGCAGGAACCAGAACAACAGTTTAAACATCCACTAAACAATCAGCCAGAATCTCAGGCAGTTTAGATTTAGTAACTTATGATTGTTTATTTTAGATGCAAGCTGCATTTAGCTTTAAATGTTTATTTATTTCTTGACATTATTTGTTATCAGAAGTTTAGGGATGTGTATAAAAACAGTTCTATATGTATAAATGTTTTCTTTTAAAGCAAACCTTTTAGCAGGGTTTTCATACGTCCATTTGACTGAATACTTGATGCAGTGTGTAGCCTTTTTTTTGTGTTTTTTGTCTAAATTAGATGACTTTATGATTCAGTTTTGCCAGATCACAGTTTAGTTTAGTGGAATTTACTTTACCTTAATCAAAAACTGATTGGCTGTGATCGGGATCTGTGGTATAAATCCTGATCGGAGCCTAATTTACCCTAATTTACTCTCTGTGGGGATTTTATAAACTTGCCCATCATCGTTGTGAATTTAGCTTTTGGTCATCTCACATCCTTACAGTTTGTCAAAACAGGATTGTTATTTTTTCTTGAAATGTTTTTTTTTTTTTTTTAAGAGTTTTTATGCTCACCTCCCTGAGCGGCTGGTCACCTTCACAGCCGACCTGTCTGAGATGTTTCCTGCTGGCATTTACGACACCAAATATGTGACCGAATTTGAGCTCCGGCTGACTTCGTCCTATCTGGAGTATGCTTATAAGAAGTGGTAAGCCCAAGGTTATGTCATGTTTCAGCTTAAGTTTTTTAATTTTTCTATTTGTTGGGCAGTTTGTGGATTTGAAACGATTGGACATAGGTCTAAGCATCAAGTCTGCTCTCAATAAAAACTACTTTGCAGATCTTCTTTGCAGAATACTACTATGATCATATCTGTGTTAAAGATAAAGTTAAAAGTTGACCCGAAGAACATTGCTATTCTGTTATAACTATATTTTCTTTTCTCTTATATTGTCAGTAAACTGGAAAACAGCCGCGGCATCACTTCAGGTTCGCCTGGACCTCATATGCATTTAGAATTTTGTCAGTATGCGGGTCACCTGTCCACATACATCGACTACAGAGAGTGTCCGGCTGTAGCTTCCATAGAGGGACAGACGGACATCTGTCAGCGCTTTTCAGTAAGTTTAACTGACTTTCAGCCATCTTAGAAAATGTTTTAGGCTTACTTTGTCCAACTTCTAACATCGGAACAGGCCCGCTTACACAAATCCTTACAAGTTTCTAACTATTATATTGGAATTTTATACGATTACATAAATGTAATGGTGAAAAGGTAGGAAAATGATGCATGGCTTTAATAAAGCCAGATCAGCCACATTCACCCCTAAATGAAAATCACTGGAACAACTTGCTGTTAAAAGAAATAAACTCGAGTTGTATTATTATTATTAGAAGGGCCTATTCAAAGCCATGCAAACATAAAAAGGAAGTTTTTCTGGTCAGATGGAACCAGATGGCAGTAAAACAATGCGTGTTGTGAAATTGGAACACTGCACAAATTGTAGAACATGGTGTTAGCAGAGTCATGCTGTGGGGTTGCTTTTCTTCAATAAGAACTGACTTATTGAAACTGTAATTCTGTAGGAAAACAAGTTAGAGGCCATAAAAAAACCCAAAAAACTCAAGACTGAGCCAGTGGTTCACCTCTGAGCAGGATAAAACAAACAAGCAATGTATGAAGGAATCAGCTAGATCTGAGCATCTTCATATGTTGGAGTGGAGCGATTAAAGGTATAGTGGAGGATTTTCACAAATTTTTGAAAAGACCCGCCCTCTCCACTTTAAAAAAAGAAAAATGCAATCGCACAACCCTGTACCTGCTCTCGAGAGGACACCTATGAAACATGTGCGAGAGCATGCATGATACCATTTCTCCTCGTTTTATTAGCAGTGATGTGAAATGGATCTCTCCAAATAGCTTGCCAAACGTTACCTGTCGTGTAAAAACTTCGCCACCAAGGCATCAGACGCAAGCCCGGCCTGTGCTTTCGGTGTACGCCATTGCATGAAAGAATCTCCCAAAAATACTCTGGTCTTGTTTCTCTCTTCTGAGATCTTTCTCTTCTTCTCATACACTTTGTAAACACGTTTTCTCTTACAACCCTCAGCCGTTTTCCAAAGAACCATGGTGACAAAGGCAAGCTTCACTGACTGTCTGAAACCGTATCTCACCACACATATACGACTGAATGCGCTGAGAGATATATCACCAGAATGATTGACAATTAGGAGGACCACTTATTTGGATGATCCACCCGGAAAAAGAACATTCTCCACTATACCTTTAAAGTTCTGACAAATTCCAGTTGAGAATCTTTGATGAAACCAGTTAAAATGCTCCCAGTCTAATCTGTAAATTATTGAGCATAACGCTTCAGTTTGTAGATTAGCAGAATGGTAAGGAGATACTCAGAATCCCAGTAAAACAAAATTAACCAAATATGAGTTTGTATCACAACAGTATTTAAATGTGTAGGGGTGTTCATCCTTTTTCAAAACACAATATATTATTGCATTCATGTGCAATTTTTAAGTAATTTTTTCCACTTGTGTTCATGAGTCGGTTAAAAAAAATAGGTCTTTAAATCGTTTGATTTTATCTTTTAGTTCTTAATAATTCATATCTTTCATTCCTTTACCTAAATGTTCATCTTTTTCCATAATTAAATAAAACAATCCTCAAATCTCATCAGCTTGTATGTTCACTGGGTCGTTCCCTATAGGTTGAATAACTGCCCCATCCTTCTGCTTTGTTTTTTCTTTCCTCCCGACAGGCTTTCGGCTGGTGTCCAAATGGCACCAAGTGTTCGTTTTCCCATGACACAGACCTGATCATCCTGCAGGATGAGAAATGCAAAGAAGACAAAAAGAAAAAGCGGAAGAGGCAGAGAGAGAAAAAAGGTTTAGGTACAGCAGAGGACGGCTCCATCTTTGATGGTGCCCCACAGAATAAAATACCCAACATGGAAGTTGATAAGGAAGAAGGAGGAAGTGACCAACAGGAGGCAGATGAGAAATCCTGCTCTGACGGAGTCCCTCAAATAGACCCTGATGGAAACTCTCATCAAACAGACGAAGGGGAGAATAAGAAAATCGAAAACGATGAAGGCAGAATGAGCAAAGATAAAACAAAAAGCAGAGACTGCTCTGAGGTTACTGGGGACCATTCAGTAGAGTCTAATGCTCAGAAGAAGGCAGATGCAGGATCACATCGAGCAGGGTTTGATGCCTTTATGACAGGGTATATCTTTGCCTACTCGCACATCCTCAGCAAGAACGAGGAAGCTGGGGTGGGAAGAGTCGAGATGGAGTCGGAGCCGTCCTGGCTCCCCGCATGTATCAATAAGATCTATCTCAGTGGCAAAGCTGCTCCTCTCAACGTGGTGAAAAGCACCTTTTCCAAATCTTCTAAGGCTCACATTCAGAAGATGGAGATGGTTTGGGGGAGGAAGTTGTAATAGTTTTTTTTTTTTTTAACATCATGTCTGTCATTTTATCTTACATAAGATCATTTAATAGTTCTATTTTTATTTGAGCAGCTGTTTCTTGGAGACTGTTATTGACCTAACCCAAATTGAGCCAGGTTCAGTTATATAATCAATTTATGTAAATGGTGAATACAATTGACATTTTTTCATCCATTACCCTTGTCTTTAAGCAGGCAAATTAGATCAAAGTGTGCCGTTATGTGATGGCTGTTAAGATCATATTTTCTTTAATTCTCGCTCCAAAAAACCCCCAACTATTTTAGACAGAACATGGTCTCGTCAAAAGATATATTCAAAATTCTGATTTGAATAGTTGACATTACAGTTGAAATAACTTTTGTATCCCTGGTTACCTAACTTTGTAATCTCATTTCTGATGGAAATTAAAAGCCTATGATCGATTATGTATGGTTGTCTCATTTTGTCTAAAAGCTCGAGAAACTTTTTTTTTGCTTCTATTGCATAAACGTGATAATCCTCTGAGAGAATTAAATAAAGAAAATGTAATGTAGTTTAATCTTACACGGCAACTGTACTCACTGCTTGTAAGCGTAACATTTCAGATGAAAATTGGGCTCAAAGGATCGAAAAGTGAAGAAAAAGCCTGCGCGCAGCCTACAGTCGTCCAGTAGGGGGCGATACATCAAAGACTGGTTTCTACTCTGCTCTCTGAGGACAAGAAGAAGAAGCCGTATTCCTGTCGGTAGGAAGGATTGTGTTGTAACACCGCCTGTTCTCGCCGTGAATGTGTTTGTATCTTTATTCATTAGAAACTGAATAATTTTATACCTATTAGCTTGTTTTTCATCGCTTACTTCGCCTAAATGAGTGACCGTTAGCCGCCGGGGTATAGCTTTTAGAAATGGCTGCGGATGATATTGACTATAATATTGTGTTTCCAGATGCTGGCACATCAGGTGAGAGCAGTTTCATCGTACAGACACACACTTTACTGTCTGTAACCCGAACTGCATCTCTGTCGGGCACGAGCGCTGCTTTTGTGTGGTCGTTGCTATAGCAGCTCACAGTTTCTGTGTTAAAGCACTGTTGTTGTTTGGGTGTCGTTTTCAGAGAGGCATTGGCAGGGGACAAAGGAGCCGGTTGTGATCCTGCTGGGATGGGCTGGCTGCAAGGACAAACACCTCTCTAAATACAGCTCTATTTACAATGATAAGGTCAGTGCCACGATACAAAAAAAAAAAAAACCCCACCTCAGATAGATTATTTAAACAGAGGTTTACTTTTCTTAGAAGAAAATGTACAATAATACAAAAATAAATAATCCTCTAACAAATGAATGAGGGAAGTTTGGGTTTCCACTGCAAGATCTCCATCAATACAAAACGCCTTTAAAAACCACACTGATAGAAAAATAATTGTATTTGGGACGTTAATGTCACAACAGTCCAGCCTGCTTTACGGCACTTTAAAAATGATCATCTTGGTGAGCTTTGGCTGATTCTGGATCATCCAACCTGAGTCTGTGAATTTTATCTGAATTTTAAATGAGTCAAACTGTTTATCTGTCTTTTTTCTCGTTGTCTGTGCATATTAGGGCAGTCAAAATTACAGAAATGCTGCATTCTTCTTCTGTCAACTTAGTTTATTGCCAGTGTAGAGGTTTTAGATGCAGCTTGAAGGGCCAATTTGAACTGCCTACCATGCTGAATGATGGGATATTTTCACCTTATCCTTTTGGTGTAAACACCAATGTTACTGATACTGACTGCATGGTTTTTTGCTATGTTGGTGAAACACAGTTTTCAGTTAGATTTGGCATAAATCTCTGGTTAATGGCTTTGAAATTCTTGTGAAACAACTTTATACTTGTTTTTTCTTCCATCGTGTTTCAGGGGTGCGTTACCATCCGCTACACAGCTCCCCTGAAGACCGTCTTCATTTCTGAGACGTTTGGCTACAAGGAGCTGAGCAGCACTGCCCTGAAACTGTTGGAGATCCTCTACGACTACGAAGTGGAGAACAGCCCCGTCTTCTTCCACATCTTCAGTAACGGCGGCTTCATGCTCTACCGATACATCGTGGAGCTGCTGCACAGTGACAAACAGTTCAGCTCCCTTCGTGTGGTTGGAGCTGTAGTGGACAGTGCCCCGGGGAGCGGGAACGTCCAAGGCGCCTTGCGTGCTCTCACAGCTACCCTGGGGCCCAAAATAAGCCCTTTTCTGAAGTACATCCTCCTGGCGCTTTTTGCAGTGAGCGTTTTCCTCCTGCGAATCGTTCTGTACCCAGTGACAAAGTTCATCCACAAAAACCACTATGACGCAGTGGGAGACAGGCCACCCACCTGGCCTCACCTCCTCCTGTACTCCACAGCGGATCAGGTGATCAGACACAGAGACGTTGAGCTGTTTATGGAGACCGTGACAAAGAAGGGCGTCCCGGTGCACAGCTGTGATTTTACCTCCAGCGCCCACGTCTGTCATTTTCGTGATTTTCCCGAGCAATACACGAGCAAGTGTCGTGACTTCCTGGTGGCTTGCATGAAGGATTTGGAAGGACCTGAAATAAAAAAAAGACATCTGGTTCAGAGTCAATAGAATGTCTTTTAAAGAAGAAAAGTGAAGATAATAGAACTACCAGGCCTTTCTTTTAATCCTCAGTGGTTTCAAAATCTAAAGAATTGTATCATTTTCTTCTTCTAACTTCTGCTAAAATTTAATTTCAAGTTGCAGTTTACTGAAGAGGAGGGTTCCACCACTGTCCGCTCTAAATCAGTTTTAACTATGTTTGAAATGGGCTGGCAAGACATTCCCACAGTAGGATAACCTCAGAAATATTTCCCCACAAACTTTTAACAGAAACATGTATAACATGAACTAACTACTGTTACTGCTGCTAAATAACACATTGATCATTGCAGTCGTAATAATCATCTATATCATTTGCAGAGAAATTAGAATATCTGAAAAATAGTTCTAGTTAATGAATTAAAAAAATGAAAACTATATTTGTCTTCTAGTGTATGAATGAATGGGATTCGGATGTTAGTATAAAGATTAAATGGACAACAAAAGGTCAACCAATAAATAAATCCTAAATAAATTGATTAAAATGGCCGCTTCGGGCATAGTTGGTATAGCAGCAGTGCAGTTAGTCCCCACATGATCATCATATTTTCTAAGTTATTTTTACCAGATGGTTTAATGAAACCAGGAAGGCCTTGCCGTTCGCAAAGATTTTCAAAATATTTATGTTTATGCTTGAAAAAAGATAATTATCCACCTTCCAGCCCGTATTAATGTATTCAGACTTTTTTCTGTAATTGAGATGAATAAACCGACCTAACAAAAACCTAGAATTCTTAAACAAATACCTCTACATTCCTCTCTTCTCTTTAGCCCTGCTAAGGCATTTTTGGAGGGTTTCTCTGGTTCAAGCATAGCCCAACTCAGAGGAAGGGACAGTTGTATCTCATGTTCTGGATTTATCTGAAAGTGGCGGCTTTTAATCTCGACCGCCTTGGGATTTCCCCCCAAAATCCTTGAATTCTCTGTTTTTCTGCAAGTTTTCCGGCTTCTTGTTTCCTTTTTTCCTTCCACTCATTTTCTCCCAGGATGCAGTACGGTTATGAACAGGCAGCTTTTATTATGGTAACCCTCCTTGTGGATGGTGTTGATGACTTCCTGCTTAACCACTGTCAACTCAACAGCCATAAGTACTCTACTATTTGTTGTAATTGGTATTAAGAAATAATAAAAATGTCTTGAGAGAGAGTTGATTTTGGTTTTAAAAGCAGTAATCCATTATCGTTAAAAGAATCAGAACTAAATGCTTGAAGCATGTTTTTTTTCTATGTGTAATGAAACTGTATAGTGAATGAGATTCGTGTTTCATATAGAATTACTGAAATGAAGTTATTTGTATTCTAATTTATTGAGATAATTTAGTGGTTTTTTTGACACTCCTGTTTTGCCATGTTGATTTTCACAAAGACATAATGAATAACTCCCTGATAACGCTGCTTAATTAAACAAGCTGAAGATGGTAGCTAGGCAACTATTACAGCAGTTCTTCCCTTATAACTTTTTTTTTTTGAACAGTTATGCAAAGAGCCAAAATTATGTATTGTAGCCTCCTTTCACCCAGCTGACCAGCAGTGTGCAGCTGCAGTCATGGGAAGTACACAGAAAACTACTCTCTCCCGTACACTTCATCTGTGGCAAAATGTTTTGGTTTTTCCTTTCTGTGCTTTTGAAGTTTTTAAAACCTTGTTATTTCCTGGAAACGGTTACCAGCCCATGCTTTCTCAGCATACGCTGTAGCTCATATTCTGTGGACATATATATGAGAGAAGGGTCTTCCTCTAATGTGTTTTTATACCATGTAAACATTTGAGATTAGAAGCCACAACAGTTTAGATACACTGGAACCTCTATCCTGGAGTCTTTTTGGCTAATTTAGTGCTGTGAAATGTGATGCATTGTAATTAGTGGAAAGTTTTTTTCTGTTTTGTCTATTTATGAAATGTAATTTATGATTTATTACTAAAACAAGGGTGCTTTTCAAGGTTAATGTCACATGTTCAAGTGATTTCGTCATTAGAGGAGGTATTAACACTGCTGCCTTATGGAAGAAATTTTGTCCAAATGTATTGAAGCCAAGCTAATGAGTCAAATAAATCAATCTAGTCCATGACAAACCTTTGTGACGATGAATGTACATGAAGCACAGCTGATATGTTTGATTTTTAAACGGATGTGCCTTCAATAAACCAGAATACCCAAGTCTTCAGCATTTTTATATCCATTTTTAGTTGCTTTTTTATGTTTAAAATTCAGCAGCAAAAAAACTAACTGCAAAAGTTGGTTAAAATATAAACAATGGTATTATTTTATGAAAGAAAATGTTTTATAACCTGGTAAAAGTGTTTTTTCTGGTGGTGGACATTTTTTTGCACCAAATATATTCTTGTTTGTTTATCTTAACATGTATAAACATATTAATATAATTTTTTCTATTACTTGAAATGTTAAGTAATGTTGAGTTAACTATTTAAAACTAAGCTTCAAATATTCACTGTGAAGTGTAACTAAAAATACTTTTTCTGGTGAGAAATGACTTTGAACCCCCTAAACATATTATTGAAGCTAAAACAAATGAACTTATCATAAGCAAATAGCATCATTACTCAGCCTTTTGAAGGATTGTCCTGTTTAAACCTTAGATAGATTGTTGAAGTCAGAGACAGACTAAGGAATTTAAAAAATATGCCTCAGAAAGAAGGCTGTTCTATGGTTTGAGTCAGGTATTGAATTTTAGGAGGTTTATAGTGAATTTGAAATAAGCAATTCAACTGCATTAAAAATTAAAGGGTGTAACCTCACAGATCAAACAAGTTTAACCTAAAATCTACATTGTGATTAATCGATTACTCCTTAATTGGAGTATAGAGACTCTAAAACACGCCTTTAGCTGACAGAGAAACCTACCTTGAACTGCAATTATACCAAAGTTGTAAAAATAATATGTAAACATTTTGCATTTAAAATAAAATATTTTTCGCCTGTCAATATGCTCTATCCAGAACTCCTAAAGTTTTAGTTTCACCTGGTTTAATTTCGCAAAAAGTCTTCTTTAAAGAACCTTTTACTATCTGATTATTAACTGATTAATCAACAGATTAATCCATTTGCAAAATAATCCTTAATTGCAGCCCTATTTTAGACCAGATCTTGCCAAAGAGAACATTGGCCAAAACATTTGAAACCATATTCTTTGAACATTTGTTCTGAAACTGGTTTATCTTAACAGTAGAAAAGTGGATGCGTTTCAGGGTAAACTGTTTACAGCATTTCAGAAAAAAAACTGTGAAGCATAGAGGTGGAAGTGTCATGGTATAACTGCTATGGTGCAGGATGACCTGACCCACCCACCATCACAGAATCTAATGAATTCTATGGAGTATCATAGAGTGTTTAAAAATAATTTTTTTTTTATTCTGAAACAGAACTGGATCAGACAGAGCTGGAGTTTGGCCAGACGAATATCAGTTGCCTTTTGCAGATTGTCCTACCTGAGCTGTGGATCCCTGCAGCTCCTCCAGAGTCACAATAGACCTGTTGGCTGCGTCTCTAATGAATGGTTTTGTTTTTCTGGCCAGCCAGTTTATCTTTGTAGTTATGCAGTTGTACCATACTCATCCATGTTCTTATGGACAAGGACAGAATATTCACTAAAATCTTTAATTCAGAGGATATCAGGGTGCTAATACTTTTGCAACGTGCTGTACGTCTTAACAGCATCTGTTCTTTTGGAGAATATTGTTGCATGTTGAGTTTTTAACTCACCCAGTTTTCTGTTTGTGTTATAGTTAGTAATGAGAGGCAAGTTTATTTGTATAGCACATTTTAGTGACCAGATTAGTCAACATTCAGTTCAAGGTTTGGGTCCGAGTCCAACACTGAGCCTGGGTCTGGGTCCTGTTGGGAGGTTTGTAGTTGTAATAATAATAATAATAAACTTTTAAAAGATTCTACTTTGGCAAAAAATACCCCCAAAAATAGGTTTGATTTAATTCAGCTAAAATAAATTTTGGGACACCCATGCATTTATTTCTAAACAACTGGTGGTTCTACCTTTACAGTACACATATCTATGTTCCTCTACATGCACTGTGAGATTTAAAGAACAGTTATTTCTCTTTCATTATTTCCACCTGTGATAAATGTTTATCTTTGGTGGCTGCTGTTTTATTCCTCTAATGATTAATTGAGTGCAAATTTAGAATTCAAAAGAACAAGATGAGGAAAAAAGTCACATTGTCAAGATATAAAAATAATGTAAATGATTAACATTTTTTTGTTAAGTTTGCTGGATGAAGCAGAGTAAAAAGTAAAAGTTAAAGTAAGGAAGTATGTCATGTGGTCTCTCTTGAGAAAGCCAGAACAGATATTGTATAAAAACCTGCAAACCTATCAAGCCTGTTTTATTATACTTTGAACATTAAAATATTTTCCTTTAAAATCTGTCTGCCATAAAATTCAAATTATTGTTCCAGTTAAAAAGAGTGTGAAACGCCAATTTATGAAGGGCAGATTGAAATAATTTTAAGAAAGAAAATCCACTCAGATTAGACGGGGTGCTCTCAGTTTTTGAAAACTTTACTTTGCATATGGCTCCCTCTAGTGGATATAAATTTAATCTTTCTTTCTAAAATCATTTAAAGTGTTTTGCTCTGTTACACATTACCTGGCAGGTAAAAGCAAAAACAAAAAACAACACAAAAACAACAAAACAAATATTTTTACTTAAGTTAAAAACATTCAGATTATGATGAATACCTCACAAGTTTTTGTAGAGCTGTGTTTTTTTTCTTCACTTACTGAAAAGGAGCAAATCACTTGAATTGAGCCACTTCACCTGCTCTCCTTTCATGAGATACTGAGGACTGTTTGAGTTGAATGAGTCGCTGAAACAGCCCAGTGGCAATAGTTGCTGGATGTCTGTGCTTGTCACAATTGACATTTGGAGGAGCGAGCAGGTTGGCATTTGCCTCTGCTCCAGATCTGGCACTAGTACTTCATGTATCATGAGGAGCAGCTTGGGGGAAAAGAACACAGAGGAAAGTTTACATATCGATTCAGACAGATGAACATCGCTTGCTGAACTGCACATGAGATGAGCTGCAGTCGTAGTGTGATGGATGAGACCTCAATACATCTCTAAAAGAACATACTGCATTTATTGCTCACTTTTATTAATCTAAATGTCTAATTTCTCTATTGTAAGTAGATGGATATAACCTACCGTTCCATCTACAAATACAGTGTCATACTTGATTAATTTGTGTAGACTTACTTTTAGGTTTTACCAACTAGTCAAGTAAAAAAATACATATAATAATGTATCCAACCTGAAATGAACTTTGAATGATATAATAAAGCTCTAAAGGATGCACCATTGGTATTACATACAGGAAATTACAGGTTGAATATTCAGCACTGTTTTTACTGCTAGGGAACTACAATCAAAGTTACTCTCAAATGCATAAGCATGCATGATGAGGCTTTCCAGCAGTGATCAGACTGCAAGAGCTGATTGATAACTTGTCCTGGGGATCCCACTCTCATTTTCCTAAAAACATGCTGATAATCCTTAAAATTTTTAGAAAAATGTTGTGTGTGCTGATGAGAGAACTGACACGTTTCAGAAGGGCTTTGTCCCTTTACATTTTCAGTAAAACTTACAAAACACCAAAGAAAGAGGACATCATAAGTACAGTTAAACATTTTTGGTGGTATGATGATCTGTGGCTGCATCAGGATGCTGAAGGTTTGACACAATTTCTGGAACTATGGATTCTGCTTGCGATTCTTTCTTTTATCATAGTTAAATTTTTTATCGACTAATGAAATTCAACTGAAATCCACAAATTTAAATGCTGCAGACTGACAACAAACAGAGCATTCAATTAGGAAAAGCCCGTCTATATGTATGAATAAAATAATTATGGGGAGAAGAATAGGCCAAAACTTTTCCAGATTAACGTAAAAATCAGATACCCATCGATTTCAACAGCTGTTTGGCAATTTTTACCAGCAAGAGAGACTAAGACCGGAATTAGGTTTAAGAGGCAAATACTTTCTCATATATATGCTTAATGAAACAGATGTTTTTACTGCACAAGTACAGTTTTTCTCCCAATAAATCAGTTTGTTGAGCTGGAACATTCAAGTGGGCAAAAATGGAAGAAATCATTAAACTGACATGACTAATTAGAATAAAAAAAGATATTTTTTTGCATCAGTCATAACATTTGCATTGAGCTTCCCTAGTCTGCATTTTACATACAGACTAATTTCTAACTGAAGGGGGCAGCATTGGCTTACAATTTCTCCAGTTCCTGTTTTAAGTGAGGGCTCAGCTGCACATCATGGTGATTAAGTCAATGCTCCCATATTATGTATTTCTCTTTGGGAAATAAAAAAAAACATAACAACTCTGAAATCTTCCTTCATATATGGTTGAGCTGCTGGAAAGTCTAAGTGCTTTACCCAGAAGACTTTTCAAATAATCTCCATCTTTCCCTGCTTTTAGTTTCTTCAACTGTGAAAGCATTTTGACATTGCAATGTTTCTAAAAAAGCCCCACACAAAATAAATTTCCATTTCAAATTAAAAAAGTAGCAGTATTTTTAGCAAAAGGCTGCAGAGAAGATCAGGAGAACAAAGAATAGATTGGTCTGTGCAGATGAGTTAGTCATGCACCTCCCTCTCCCCTTTAGAAAAGCACTGAAAGAAGAAATTACACCATGGAAGTTAATGAAGTCTCACAAGTTGATGAGGGGAAAATTGTGGTGAAGAGGGGTCAGTGCTTTCTCTTTAGCCTTTCCCTCTTCTGCGGAAAATGGCTGCGGTCAAGATCCATACTTTTAGAGGACGCCTAGCTCTCCGGTGCAGAGATGGAGTGAGAGGGATGAGAGGGAGAGCACCAAGATTAATGGTATTAAGTGGTAGCACTTGGCAATGTGGTAACATATCGTCTGTGTTCTCAATTTGGGGCTGATAGTTTCATAGACCTTGGCTGTGCATGGCAACTTTTAGCTGTGATTTAGTGGATTCAAATAATCCGCGTGGCTTTTCATCATCACAAGACCTGCAAGCTTCCACAAAGAGGAGCCCTATCAGGGCTGCATTTATCAGAAAATGTGATCAACATCTTTTAGACAGTTCAATGTTCCTTCACCGCACTAATTTATGGTTATCATGCAAAAGCAAGAACTGAAC